GGAGCACAGACAGGAGGAGTTCTCTCTGTGCCCCCTGGCACAGAGAGAACTCCTCCTGTCTGTGCTCCTGCACTCTGAAGATGCCGGTTACAGGTGCTGGCGAAACGTTAGGAAACAAGACTTCAAGACCACGGCCACACAGCCCGGAAGACCCACACCAGCCACCTAAAGAAGACAATTCTGTTGACCAGTGCCTGAGTTCAGTGTTGGGCTGAATCAGATGAAATTGAATATAAACTAAATGGAAATCTTGTTGGTTCCAGTGGGAAATCAAGCTTTGGAATTAGGATTAACTTCTATGAAAAGACAGGTCCATAGTCATCCTCACATCCCACTTGCTGCAGCAAAAAATGCCTGACTAACCCTTTTTGAGTGACATGTTCTCAAGATGTTGTCTCCATCTCATCTCACTACTGTTCTAGCAACCATTGGGTTTTTACTCTTAATTTTTTGACCATGATGCAGCCATATAAATTGGATACATGAATAAAATCAATCTGTGATAGCCCTAACTGGTAGGGATTGGTAGGGGGAGAGTGATTGTGTTTTATGTAGTCCACAAGATACTTTTCCAGATCCTCTTGGTCAGAAGGTTCTTTCTGCATCACAGTTTTATTCTACTACAAAATTTTAAAATGTTGAAGTTTAAATTAGATGTAATATCAGTAGATCATCATATTTAAACTCATGGATATACTAAGAATTGAGGAATGCATGTTAATACAGCCATGAGGAGTAACCCACAAGTTGTTGCTTAATGCTTTATTTTTTTTTCTCAGTTTCATGCCTCAAGACTTTACTAAGTAGAAAAATACTTCATTGCAATGTGATATGCCAGAAGCGAAAAGGAGGGACTGAATGTAGAACCTGCAAGAAGTTGTATCAGCATCACTTACAAACATTTGGAATTGGTTAGAGATTTCAAATTCACCTAAGTGAAGTCCAGAGACCATCTTGGCTATTTTTCATGTCTACCTCTGTAGAGGATTAATAGATAATGAATCCTAACACATTTTATTTGGCATTTCTTGTGTCTCTCCTTAGTCTCTACCTGAATCCAGATGTGGGGAAAATTGTCATCCTGGATTTGTCAAGCAGGCTCGGGAAGGAGAACCAGTTTGCTGCTACAATTGCATTCCTTGTCCGGAGGGGACCATCTCCACTCAGGAAGGTGGGTGTCAGCCCTTCAAGGTAGTCCAGACAGGAAACCAAAACCATAAGTACTACCACTTCCTTTATTGTAATGTTATAATAACAGAATCTTGCAAGTCTGAAAACACTTCTCCCCTCCCTTGCCTTGCTTTTCTGGAGAACTAGGACAGGTCCCTTCTGAGATGCTTTCTCCATCCTCATTCCTGCTGCGGGATGAGACCTCTCTTACCTGACCACTGCCCTGGCTGTGGCTCTTCTTTCTGTCTCCCAAGGTTATTCTCACAGTCCATTACAGTGGGTGACCCTGGAGGAAAGAGTAGTGGATTTATCCACAGCATTTGGATGAAAGTGCATGTTAAAAGACAAATCTAAGTTTCCCTGTTTGTCTGGTTTATTTTCAACATGCAGAATTTCTTCCATAAGGGGAAGAATAATGAAAAGATCTTGAAGGATGGGATAGGAAGAGGGAGATGGATGTGGTGGATTGGGCAAAGTTTACTACTGTCAGAGAAAATAACTCTTCTACTTTCAGTTTGGAAGTGTCATTCCGTTATTTAACTTTCCTAGGAACATCTGACATCTTTGAAATTTGAGGAATGGTTTGAGGGCAATTGCTTTTTCCTCACTTGAGCCAAACCTACATTACTCAGTGAACTACCACTACAATGAACCTTCTTCTAAGCCATGTTTTAGTGGTTGAATTACCACTTTGGTATGATTCCTTGGCATTATTGGTACTGGGCCTCCTCCCTTCTTCTTTGTCTCATTTTCTTTTTTGTCTAATAGTGAAATACAAGCAACTACAATAAAAGAAATGCAGGAGTGTTTCTAAAAGGGAAGAAACCCTCCATTACAAATGTGATTAAAAGGAGCCAGACCTGACAGAAGGGAGGAAAAAAAGAGAACTAATGAAAAATAATCTAAATAATATCCCTTCCTCAATGTGGAATTAACTGAATATTTAAAGTTGTTATTAAATCTACACCGTATGGAAACATCGCTCCATCTTTTCATTTTTGGAATCTAATGACTTGGCAGAAATAGATAACAGACTATTTTATCTTTGTTAAATACTTAAGGAATTAATCTTCCTTAAAATCCAAAGAATACATTTCCTTCTATTTACATAAGATTATCCCTTTTGTTGAACCCCAAACTCAGGAGAGCCAAATCTCTTCATTAAAAAACATTCTGCATCTTTTAGGAATATAATTTTGACATCACATTTATAAACTTTTACATTTATTTCCAAAATTATATTACCATATGCCATATTTTGAACCCAAAATGGAGCTTTGGCCAGAATGGACCAAATCATATGAGTTAGAGAGCCCTCAAATTTCTTACAACATAATTATCATCATACAAACAAACACACACACACATGCATCTGATGTCCTACTTTTTAAAACATAAATATTCTCTGAATGGTCCAAGAGACACAAAATCATATTTAATGACCAAATCTGTCTAGTAGCTTTCAAAGCTGGGGAAAAAAAATCCCTAATTATTATATATAGATTCTAAAGCTAGCCATATTTGCAGAGGGTTGACATAGTTGCCTCAAAATTCCACAAGAAGAGAGATGTTAAAATAAAAGCCCAACAGTAGAGTTGAAGGTCTACTACTATAAAGCTGTCTTTGGTCTAAGGGAATCTCCATTTCCCCCAAGACTGAAGGCATCTGCTCAGGATGGCTCCCACCCTGGTGAACCTCAGGAAGCTGTAAAGGACCTGGCCCTTCTCCCAGGCTCTGGCCTTGATTAGGCTGTTGTTTACAGTTTGATTGTTTGTCTGGGGTTAATCCTGGTATTAATCCCTGATTTTTTGAGTGTTGATTGCTGGCAATGAGGTGTTCTGGTCTTTTTTTTTCTTTTTATTGTCTCTTTTGAGTGGCGTGTAAATGTTGTTTGTGTGCCTGTTGATGGCTGACTTGTCTGAATACCAAGCTTCAAGAATTCCCTCACATTTTTGGATTTAGCTTAGTCTAAGATGCTGACAGTTTTCCAGCTGAAACTATGGTTGAATGTGTCCATGTGGTGTGAGATTAAGGAATTTTCATCATGTCTTCTGACTGCTAGTTGATGTTCATGGATGCGCTCTGCTAATCTTCTGCCTCTCTGTCCTACATAGTGGCTGTTACAGTCCTTACACTGTATGTTGTAGATGACTCCTGTTTTTCCTTCTTGGGCTATTGGGTCGTTTGGTTTACTTAAGATGTTTTGGGGGGCCTTAGTTGGTTTGTGGGCTACAGTGATGCTACGTGGTTGTAATAGTCTGTTGGTTGTTTCTGAGATGTTTCATGATGTATGTATGTAGTGTTATCCTTTTCATAGCTTGTGTTGGTTGTGCTGCAGTGGGTTGAGTGGTCATTCATAGCTTGTGTTGGTTGTGCTGCAGTGGGTTGAGTGGTCATTCATAGCTTGTGTTGGTTGTGCTGCAGTGGGTTGAGTGGTCATTCATAGCTTGTGTTGGTTGTGCTGCAGTGGGTTGAGTGGTCAGGCACTTTTTGATAAAGTTGTGTGGGCATCCATTTTGTTGGAAGATGTGGTATAGGTTGTCTGTTTCCTTTTTCTGCTGTTCTGGGTTGCTGCAGTACATTTGTGCTCATCTGAATAACGTTCTTACACAGCTCGTCTTGTGGGAGGTGGTGGTGTTACTTTGGTAATGGAGCACTTGGTTAGTGTGGGTTATTTTTCTATAGACTTGTGTTGCTAAGTTGCTGTCATCTCCTCTGCTGATGTGAATATCCAGGAAGGGTAGTGTGTTGTTTTTTTCTTCTTCCCCTGTGAATTTTATTCCTTTGAAGATGTTGTTGATTTTTTCATGTGTCTTCTCTCATTGTTCCTTTTTTATTGTGACGAAGGTGTCATCTTCATACCGGATTCATACTTTTGGTTGTATGTGTGGAAGTGCTATAGTTTCTAGACACTGCATTACAATCTCCGCAATGAGTCCTGAGAGTGGTGATCCCATGAGTATTCCTCTGATTTGTTGTTATATTTGTCCATCAAACTGAAAATAGGTAGTGAGGCAGAGGTTGATGAGGTCCATGATTCTGGGCATTTCAATCTTAGTATATTGGGTTTGGTTGGGGGTGTTGTGTGCTGACATGGATTCTTTTGCTAGTTCTGGGTCAGCAAATGAAACCATAATTTCATCTTCATCTATTTTTAGGTCTTTGTGTCAGGCACTGCAGCTCTTAAATCCCAATAAAAAGAAACATTCTCCAGAGACTTAGTAAGTCCTAAAAGAAAGTTAGTTTATTGATGATTAACATACAGTCCTTAGCAACGAATTGCTGAAACTGAAAAGCCTGTGCAAAGCAATGCTTTCTTAACCCTTCTACTTGCCTCCCCTTTGCTCCCTCATTCTTTCTGACACCTTTCTCTGCTCTCACACCGGTACGACCTTGGCATTCCTGAAGACTAGATAAGCCCAAGCCATCTGCACTAACCGTTATGCACCTAACTGGTTTTACCCCCTCCCCACTATAACTATGGCAGAACTGAACAAGCTAGCAATTACAATTAGTCAACGGAGTTAATTGTGAGGTTCTGACATTCTGCTTCTCCAGGAAAAAGGGAAATGCAACACAGAAAATTATATCTGTAAGAGAAAACACAAGGAAAGATACATTGTCATGCAATGATACATAATAACACTTAGGAAATACATTTACTTCACTTTATCTGGATACTTTTAAAAAAATTCTTTAACAAGTTTAGGTGCTTTTAAGTGTCTTTTATCCACCCACTCATAATAGGATTTAGGGAAATGTTTCCATTGCACGAGGAACTGTAACTTCCCCTTTCATCTCCTAGAGCAGGGGTCGGGAATCTTTTTGTCTGAGAGAGCCATGAACGCCACATATTTTAAAATGTAAT